TACGTAACACCTAAATGTCTGGCCCTGAGGCCTCTAACAACATTTTTCGCGTATTCATAGTTACACAGACCACAAAATTGATCAGGGGTTAAACAAAAGGACACAAACAAAACAAAAAAAAACAGAGTTAACCTTTATGAACCAGAGTATTGTCGATATCTAATGCAATTTAAACCATCAAATGAAATTCTGCTTGGAAGGAACAGATCCCAATAAACTTAACAATTCAAACAGCTAAAATAAAAAGATTTGTCTGTCGAATTCAAGCGAAACGAAAATACTGGAATCCAGGTTCGGTTCAGGTTCTCTAGTGACTGATTTCGAGTAGATTGGCAAAACTTGTTGACAAGTTCAGCATGTCTGCATTTGACGGTGGCGAGAAAATTAAGAGAATCACTTGACAATTATGACTGTTGCAGAAAAGGAAATTCTCTCCATTTCGTAAGAACTGTTGGTCTACCTAATAGCTTTTATTTGTCGGTTGTTGGCACAAATTAAGCGAGAGTTTTCCTAAGAAAATGTTTCAGTAACTATTGGCTAGGGAGTGTAGGTTTTTTTGGGTTTTTTTTGGATATTTGTTTTCTTGATAGATCAACTAAGTAAAGTCTAGAACGAATAAAAAAGCTGACGTTTCGAGCGTTAGCCCTTCGTCAGAGCGAAACGTCAGCTTTTTTATTCGTTACGGTGGCCAATTTACAATTTCAACTTAGTTGATATAACCAAATTACCTTGTTACCCCCACCGACGCAGCACCACAGTTTCTTTAGAAACTTCCAGCCTTTAAAGCATAGAACTATTTGATGAATTTCGTCTCGATCCTGGTCTGTTGAACTGAAAAGGTTGCAAAGCTTTTTTTCGTTAAAACTAACTATGAGCGAAAGCATACATTTACATCTAAACTATTCCTCGGGCTAGTCATTGAGTTTCATTGTTTTGTTTTTAAAGTAACAAGACCTTTTTCAGCCGAAAATTGGAGTATCACAGAACTATGGGGTTTAAATTCTAAACTGCTGAATTTTTAGGTGAAAAAAAAAAGTCAAACACAGCTTAAAATTCTGATCGCCGAGCCTTAAAATGTTAAAACTTTGAAGGTTTAAAGACTTTTCTGGTTTTTAGTCGATAGATTTGGCTACAACCACTGATCAGATAATGTCCAAATTCTCCTTTCCGCCAAAAAAAAAAAAGAAAAACCGTCCGTTGGGAAAGGTCTTGTTCTATCGATGCGATAAGGCCTGTTAACTTTTTGTGACTTACTTTGTGCAAAAAAAAAAAAAAAATTGAAAATCAAATTATATCAAAAGTCAGTATATTTTCGAACGATTTCTTCTTCGCACTTTTATAATGCCTTTATGGAGATTCTATTAACTAATTAAAGAATTGTATGACAAAAAACTTGTATTATTATTTTTTTAATTGAAAAATTAAAAAATAAAGGTCACACAATAGAAAGTAAACAACACTGGCGGGAAAATTGTAACGATTTGAACAGATGATACTTACAGAGTTAAAATTTTTTTTTTCAAAATAAAAAATGGCGTATGCGTATTTAAAGCGCCTGTATTTTTCTAAGATTTTTTGATTTTTTTTGGTTTTTTTAGAAATTTTGAGCGGAGGTCACCGTGGAAAAACGTAAGCAAAAATCTTACTACATATATAATTTTAACTGTTCCTAAATAATACTGTGGACAAAATTTCTGATCTTGAAATACGTTCAACTTTGTAAATTAAATAAACTTACTGGCGAGATTCTATTCTTTGGACGACAACTCTTAATATAAAATCTAAAAATTTTTTTTACAAGTACTGTTCACTAGTCTTCGATAATGTGACGTGTACATTAATGTTGGAAAATTAAACAAAACAATCTTTCCAACTGTTTGTTTCGAATGATTTCGCTCACGTTAAAAAGTAGTTGACCCCTCAGTTTTTTTATACCTCCACTGTAAATCTGTCTCTCGTTTGAATGTTAGCCTTTTTCCCTTGATCTTCGAGTTTTCTTTGAATCATTACAGCCATTCAAAGACCTGAAACAACAAAACAAAAGAGAATTATTACTCTCAGCTTTGAGCATTGGTACACCGAATCAAGCGATAAACGAAAACTTCATAAGAATACAAACTTTTAAAATGACCCTATGTAATAGATTGGAGGGAGTCTTAGTAAAACCTAACTCTGTTTCCACTTTTCTCGTTTACCGTACAATAATTTCAAGTCAAAATCTGCTGAAGACCAGTTTCCAATTTCATGGAGTTAATTTCAGCGCGAAAAACGCAAGTATGTAAAAAAAACTAATCTAAATCATGATTATCAAGATAATACTACCGAAAACATTTTTGCGTGATAACTTTGCTTTAGTTATTTCTTGAAAGTTGACATTTTCAACAAATTAATGAGAAAAACTCAATTTGGCGTCAAGACGTTAAGACTCGGTTAGAAAAAGATAAATTCTTCGTCTGGTACAATTACCGGGGATTACATCTACGTTTGCCTGTGCCATTCCCCTCATTAATGAGGGTTGAAAAACAACAAAAAAGAAATATTGATAAACGTGTAAATGAAATCTGTTAGTGATCCTGATGTCTGCATTTCCTTCATCTTTCAATCCCTTAAAGGGACTTGTATCTAACTTCTCCCTCCAAGCCATTCAGCGCTAAATCAATCAAAGTTCACGAGAACAAAGGAAATGATCGGCAACTAAAGAAGAAGCCTTCGACTGTTTATCGAATTCTCCATGTCATAGGAAACGTATGGAAAATAGTACATAGAGAATATGGATAATGGGTCTTAGGGTGTCAAGGGTACGCGTTAAAATAGATACGGCATTGCCAAGGTTTTATTTAACTGAATAAAATAATGAACTTACTGTTTGAAGGAGAGTAATTCTGGACGTCCTCTTTCCTTAGATCGCAACGGTATTGATTTTCTGTTCATGTCTAGCCTTTAAATAACCCGTCTTTGCTTGTCATTTGACTAAAAAACGAATGCACGATTGTTAGGTAGATCACAACGGCATTGACTTTCTGTTCCTGTCTAACCTTTTAATATCACGTCTTCGTTTTTCATTTGACTGAAAAACAAATACATAATTAGATGAATATACCTTGGCGTCAGTGTTAAGAAGCTGATAATCACTCACATCCAGAACGGACCTCGTACGCTCTCTCTTGGCTCAATTGACACCAAATTCTCATAAACATCTCCAGAAAAAATATCTGCCTGACAGTAAGGATAATTATTGTCGCGTGGGAGTGAAAAGATCAAGCGATGTAGGTCTTGAGAAGCTTAGTGTAAGAAAGCTTTACACCGTGACCCTGGAAGTTTCTGTGACGAGGGACAGTAAGTGGCCTTGTTTGGCAAAAAAGCAATTAATATAACTAACTATTCTAATAAATTTCTCAGCTCTTAACGGGTCGAAGTTCCCAAAGACCTTTGTTTTAGAAGTAAGAGGAGATATCAAAGTGCATCCTGAATTTTCTCTCTTCCTCACGGTAGCCCTTCCTTTACAACGTACCTTCACCTTTCTTTTAAACAGGTGTTGAATAGAATTCCCTACTCCAAGAGTTTTCTCTCTTATTCATTCACTTAATTTTATGCTGCGCATACCAACCTTTCATACCTAGCCCGACCCCCACCCCCGCAAAAGACAGTAGTCCTCAATAAATCTTTTTATCCCACCCCTCCCACGACGCAAACCATAATGAATGATTTCCCTTCTTCTGGCTATTTCTTATTCTTACAAATAAGATCATCTTTGGACAGTAAAGTAAATATCAAGCTAGTTCTTAGAAAAAGAAACTTCAAGACTACAGTCTTTTTAAATACCTTTCTAATGTCTGTTTGCAAATCGTTGCCCTTTTTTTCACTCAGCGTCCACGTGTTGCCGGCCATCAATCCGCGGCTAACTTCTTTCGAACCGTACTCACCGTTTCTTCTTCAGATCTTCTACCAAACATAATGCCTCATTCCAACGTCGATAACGTTCACGTAAAAGAGCTTGTTTATAAGAAATAACTGCAGAGCCACTCCAGCTTACTTCAGTTGTTCACCACGTTCGTTTGCAAAATGTTGCATAATTTAATGTCAATTAATTCAATGCTAATCTGCCGTAAGTTATACGCAACAATATTCTTCGAGTTCCCACCCGGACACGACGGATAATTTTGAAATGCAAATCGATATTATGTGTTG